ATTTCCTCTTGCTTTGATAATCAGAAAAAAAAAAAAGCAGCTCTGTGCAGTGCTGAAATCTCACCAGTCTTTCATCATACATTTAATTCTGCACAGCATGGAAGGGTAAGGGAGAACAGCTAAAACTGTACTAAGGGTAGGAATGAACCCAGATTGTCCATTTCATGAGAAATTCCCTAATTGTCATCATGCTTTTCATTGTGAACATTCCTGTAACATGAAATTCCAAATAATACTTTGATTTTCTTCAAGAGGGTTGTTTGTTTTAAGTCACTGGTCAATTTTTCCTCATAAAGATCATGCAATTATTTTATGGCATTATTGAAATCTTCGTTTGACACTTGATTCTTTATGAAATTTGTCATTTTTAGGTTTGTAATTGAAGGTCTGAACCTGGGAAAACACTTGATGCAACTATTTTACAGCATGATTGAAATCTTCATTTACAGCATTATTGAAATCTTCATTTGAGACTTGATTCTTTATGAAATTTGTCATTCTTAGGTTTGTCATTGAAGGTCTGAACCTGGGAAAACACTTGACTGTTTGCTTTTCCCCTCTCTTCTTATGTCCCATTGAAATTAATGGGATTTAAACTTGTGCTTCTCTAGATCAGGACCATCAGTAATTGAAGACTGGAAAAATAATTTTTAAATTAAAAATTAGAGGGTGATCAACAAGTCATGGAAATAATCAAGAATGTGAAGGAGGCATTTTTGCCTTAGGGATATTTTGTGCCTGAGGCACTGGTGATGTTCAGCTTTGCTCTAAACCACAGTGACAACATGAGACCAACTTCACAGTCACTTACTTGTTTCTACTATTTTATTAACTCTCTAAATTAAAAAAAAAAAAAAAGAACCCTTTCGCAAAACCCTTCTGGCACTTCAGAATCTGCAGGAAATGGGAGCAAGATGTAGGATTTTTATATTGATAGAGTGAAACGTTGTAGGATTTTTGACCTTGAATGAGGTCGCTGTTGTTTCTGCGGCTTTGCCTCTGCTGAGAGAATTTAGATTTTACTTTTTTGTGATTGGTACTGGAGATCTGGGGGGTGCACGGTGCCCAGTTCCTGCCTGGATTGCTGCAGTGATTCCTTCTTGTAAAGTTAATTGCACCCCTTGGAAACGTGGCAAAAGATTTGTCACGCAAACTCCAAAGCTGCAAAAACTTTGCTTAATACAGAATTAGTTCTGTATTAATTCTGTATTAATTCAGAACAACCTAAAGCCTTTATGCTTTTTGAATTTAGTGATGGCCGATTTAAAACTGTAAGATAATAGGAAATAGTCATGTTTAGGGCTTTGTGTTGGGTGGAAACTTGTATTATTGCTCCTGAAACTCTGTTCTGTGTTAACACATCACTCGCACAGTCGTTCTGAGTGGGATTGAAGAATGGGAAACCTGTCCCCACAAGTGTCCTTGTGGATGGACAGACTAACACATCACTCACACAGTCGTTCTGAGTGGGATTGAAGAACAGGGAAACCCGTCCCCACAAGTGTCCTTGTGGATGGACAGACACATGGACCTGTTGGAGTGGGGTCAGAGGAGGCCACGGAGATGCTGGGAGGGCTGGAGGACAGGCTGAGAGAGTTGGGGTGGTTCAGCCTGGAGAAGAGAAGGCTCCAGGGAGACCTTCCAGCCCCTTCCAGTCCCTCAAGGGGCTCCAGGAAAGCTGGGGAGGGACTCTGGGTCAGGGAGGGGAGCCACAGGAGGAGGGGGAAGGGTTGGACACTGAAAGAGGGGAGATGGAGCTGAGATGTGGGGAAGAACTTGTTTGGTGTGAGGGTGGGGAGAGCCTGGAATAGAAGCTGTGGCTGCCCCATCCCTGGAGGGGTTCAAGGGGAGGTTGGAGGGGGCTTGGAGCAACCTGGTGTGGTGGGAGGTGTCCCTGCCCAGGGCAGGGGGTGGGACTCAATGATCTTGAAGGCCCCTTCCAACCCAAACCATTCAATGATTCTATGATTTTCTGGGGGCAATAGCTTTCTGCTGGGGGTTGTGATCCCCCCTGGCTGGGTGGGAGGTGTGAGCCATCCCTCCTCTGCTCGCTCCTCCTGCTGTCCTCCTCTCACTCCTACATCTCCATGATGACCTTCAAGGTCCCTTCCAACCCAGACCATTCTGTGACTCTATGATTCTATGGTTGAGGACACCAAACACACGCTGCCCCTGTTTCTCCAGGACCCACCACTGCTCCATTCTCCCTTGACTCTTGGTCAGGGAGGGGAGCCCTAGGAGGAGGGGGAAGGGTTGGACACTGAAAGAGGGGAGATGGAGATGAGATGTGGGGAAGAACTTCTTTGCTGTGAGGGTGGAATAGAAGCTGTGGCTGCCCCATCCCTGGAGGGGTTCAAGGGGAGGTTGGAGGGGGCTTGGAGCAACCTGGTGTGGTGGGAGGTGTCCCTGCCCAGGGCAGGGGGTGGAACGAGACGTTCCCTTCCAACCTGAACCATTCCATGACTTTTCTGATCCTTTTGCCCAAAAGCCTGAAATCTGGGGCTGTGACTCCAGGCGTTGGGCTGGATTATGATCCTTTTGCCCAAGAGCCTGAAATCTGGGGCTGTGACTCCAGGCGTTGGGCTGGAGTACCTGGGGGTGGTGGCAGTGGTTGTGCCCCTGGGTGTGTGCACCACCCTGTTGATGGAGGCAGCCTCTGCTCCACAGGGAGAGCTCGGGGCTGGCTCTGCTGGTTGCTTAGCAGCTACCGACGTGCTGCAGTTGGAAGGTAGAGGAGCTTCTGGGTTCCCTCTCCCCACCAGCCTCGGGCTGTGCCGGCTCCAGGAGTTGTCGTGCAGCAGGGGAAGGACCTCCCGGAGAGATGGTGGGGCAAGAAACACCACTGCTGCCGTGGGGTAAGCTGTCCCTGCTCATTAATCAGCTTCTGTGCTAGTGATTAGTAGCCTCATCACCGTGATGGTGTAGAATGGGTGTCATCAGACCCACGGAGAACGTGGTCCGTGGGGTCTACAGCACGTGGACCAGGAGTCTGCTGACCCCAACTACGCCTGTCTTGGAAATTGAACTCTTAGAGTCTTAATTCATGATAAAAAAAATGCCTGAATCTACAGTCCAGCGTTTAAAATGAAAATATCGTGGAATTAATGAGAGAATTGTGATCATTTAACAAAAAGGTGTGGTTTTTGTGTGGGCAGAGTAGGAGATGGTGTGGAAATGTCCTGCTCGAGCAGCCGGCAGGAGCAAGTGAAGGATTGCAGTGATTTCTCCCTCGTTTTTTTCTTACATGGGGGTGACTAAACCCAGCTCAGCTGAAGGTCACGCTGGCGACTCTTCAAGAAGAGAGCAAGAACCCTTTAATTGCAAAAGATGGAGAAATTGGAAAGGCTGTTCATCTTATTTGAAGATAATTAGACGTGCCCTCCTGTTTGTGTTTTTCTCCTGTGGACAAGAAGTAAAATGCTGTAACTTGGGGAAATCATGAAGAGGTTCTGTCCCGGGTAGATGCCCTCTTCGTGGGTTTGGGACATCTGGGTGGTTTCTTGTGATGTGAGAGCAGAGTTTATGGGCACGGGGCACGGTCTGGAGTTGCCTTAAATCAATTTGACAGCAAGTAGCTGGTACGCTGGGTCACGGGCTGCACGTTTGCTTTGCCTCGCAGGATTTGGGTATTAATAGGAAAGTGATGCTTATAACATTCCTGATAAATAAATATATATAGAGAGAGAGCAGGAATGTGACTGGGAAGCTGGAGCAGAGCATGCTGTTGTGTAGCCCAGGTGAAGAGGGTGCTTCAGGTGGGGGGCCAGACTCCCCCCCACCCCCAGATGTAGTTGTGCACATCTGGGATCACACTTCACAGCTGCTTTTCCCCAAAAAAATTGATATGATGCCGTGTTCCCTCTTACTCCTGCCCTTTCCCTGCTGGTCCTGCTGGTCACCGGGCATCCCTGTGCTGGGTTTAACCCTTGGCCCTGCCTTTTAGTCCCATCCCATCCCATCCCATCCCATCCCATCCCATCCCATCCCACCCCATCCCATCCCTTCCTCCAGCATCTCCTCCCCACTCCATTGCTTGGACTTTCCCAGCAGGGCCACATCTGTTACATCCTTTTTTGTTTTCCTCCTCCTCTCCCCGGGGAGACAACTGCACGGGGAGCCTGAAGCAGAGTGTGTTTCTCCTTTGAAAATATGGCTGTCCTGTTGATTTTAGGATTTTAAGACTGAAAAATCGCTGTGTTCTTGGAGTAGAAGCTGGGGGGGAAGCTTTGTGGAGGTCCACGGTCACCAAGTCAGTGTCCACATCTGTAAAACAGGAATAATCTCATTTTAGGGGCTCATTTTTAGAGGATCCACGACTGGTCGTAAAGTGCTTTGACCTGTGAACTGCCACATTATTACAGCATTTTTTTTATTGATCCTAACAGGCCCTGGAGCATTTAGGAGCAGTCATTAGATATTAAAAGCTGCACAGAGCAAACTGTGCTGCGTGCTGCCCTGGCCCCTTCCTTGTCCCCTGAAGCAGGATGTATCTTGTCAATATTTTAATTGGGGAAATGATATGCACTCAGGAGTGAATCTCCAGCTCGTGTCATTCATTCATCAGAGACTGGTTTTTTTTGTAATTCAGCTGAAGATTTGCCTGGGGCAGCTGACAGGAATTTTGCAAGCTTCACTTCTGCCTTCAGATCCCTGTTTGGATGTTCTTCTATCTGCGTAGAATCTAATTTTATGCTATTTATATGTCCATTTTGTCATTTACATTTGTGCAAAGACACCTTGTAAGCCCCTTGTAAGACAGGTGGAAGTTAGAAGCTTTGGGTGGGTCTCGTGGTGCTGGGCCACATCCAAATCCAAATGATGAAAAGAGGAATATTAACAGCTGGGTTGAAGAGATTAAACCATGAAAATATTACTGAGCCAGTTCCGTTGCTTTCAAATGGATGCTCTCTTATTTCTGCAGGGGTTTTCCTGTTCCTCCTCTCACCCGGGTTGCTTGGGGAGATGATAAAAGTGGGGTTTTCTCTTTGTGTTTGGTGCAGGGGAGGAGCTGGATCGTGAAGAGGAGCTATGAAGATTTCCGGGTGCTGGATAAACACCTTCACCTCTGTATCTACGACCGACGCTTCTCCCAGCTGGCAGAGCTGCCCCGCTCCGATGCCCTGAAGGACAGCCCGGAGGTACAGTCTCAGCTCGGGGAACACTTAAAGCCCAGACCCCAGCAAAGGGGTTGGGAGATATTTCCAAGTTTGTACCAAACAGTTTCAATACGGCCTGAGTTAGATTTGGGAAGTGGTTATTGGTAATAAGATCATTTTGGGTTTTCTACCCCAATTTCCATCATCTAAAGGGAAATGCCCTCCAAGTTCATACGAATTATCGTGCTGCTGAAGGTGGGATGGAAATAAGGGTGTCAGGAGAGAAGCTGCCCCGTTGGTACCTTCGATAACAATTTTGTTACATCTTTGAAAACTTTTTCAGTGATGTGAAAGAGCATTTAAAGTTTCTAGTCTCTTAAATTCAGCAGAAGAAGCAAAATTCAGGATAATGAATGCCCGCGTTCACTTTTTTTAATTTATATTTTAGGCATTCCTATCTCCTCCATCTTTATTTATACAACTGATTTAATATGTTCTTTGCAGCATGAAGCTGAAAATCTGCCTTATATCTGTAAGATGCAGAGATGTTGAGCAGCTCTTCTGCTCTGTGAAATGTCACCCTGCAGCTGTCTCCTGCTGTAGGTTTGGTTTCAAATTGACCACAATTGAACAGCTGTTTGAGGAGAACAATGTTTTAAACAATCCTACGGGCTACAACTCTGCTGGGCACTGGGAGGACCTCACCAGCTTCTCTTTAATAAAAACAAGTTTACTGTTCTAGAAGGGAAATTGCTAAGTGTATTTGTAAACCTTTCTTCTGCTGGTTGAAGTATTTACTCCTTTGCCAAGGCGTCGGGCTGAGTTGCCACATTCGTAAGGGTCCGTGCTGGGGCCAATACTGTTGAACATTTTTATCAATGTTATAGACAGGGGGATTAAAGGCACCATCAGCAAGTTTGCGGACGACACCAAGCTGTGTGGTGTTGTCCATACACCAGAGGGATGGGATGTCATCCAAAAGGACCTGGACAGGCTGGAGAGGTGGGCCCAGGTGAACCTCATGAGGTTCAACAAGAGCAAATGCAAGGTTCTGCACCTGGGCCGGAACAATCCTCGCCACCAATACAAACTGGGGGGTGAGGGATTGGAAAGCAGCCCTGAGGAAAGGGACTTGGGGGTGCTGGTGGAGGAGAAGCTGGACATGAGCAGGCAGTGGGCACTTGCAGCCCAGAAGGCCAATCCCATCCTGGGCTGCATCAAAAGCTGCGTTGCCAGCAGGTCCAGAGAGGGGATTCTGCCACTTGACTCTGCTCTGGTGAGACCTCACCTGGAGTATTGTGTGCAGGTCTGGAGCCCTCAATAGAAGAAGGACATGGACCTGATGGAGAGGGTCCAGAGGAGGGCCACAAGGATGATCAGGGGGATGGAGCACCTCTGCTCCGAGGACAGGCTGAGGGAGCTGGGGTTGTTCAGCCTGGAGAAGAGGAGGCTCCGGGGAGACCTAATAGCAGCCTTCCAGTACCTGAAGGGAGCCTACAGGAAGGCTGGGGAGAACCTGTTTAGAAAGGCCTGCAGTGACAGGACGAGGGGCAATGGCTTCAAGCTGGAGGGGAACAGATTTAGACTGGAGATGAGGAGAGGGTTCTTCACTGTGAGGGTGGTGGAGCACTGGAACAGGTTGCCCAGGGAGGTGGTTGAGGCCCCATCCCTGGAGATATTCAAGGAGAGGCTCGACGAGGCCCTGGGCAACCTGGTCTAGTTGGGGGTGTCCCTGCTGACTGCGGGGGGGTCGGACTAGATGGCCTTTGGAGGTCCCTTCCGGCCTGGGCAATTCTATGATTCTATGATTCTATAAATGGTTCTCAGATGTGTGTGACGGCCACAAAACAAATAATTTGTGTATGTGTGAAATTCATCATGAGGGGAAAGCTTCAGATTTAAGGTATCCTGACAAGGGAAAGCATGAAAATCTACATATCCTGGAAAAGAACATTATTATTAATGCTGGTTCTTTACACATTTTGTGTGTAATCGTAGTTTCCTGTCCTTCTCCAAATGACAGATTTCCTTGCAGAAGGGAATATATTTCTCTAACGCTTGCCTGTGCCCATGGAGAATTTATGGTCTCTCCAAACTGGTGTATCAACAGGAAAACTGTAGCTCTGTTTCTTTCTGTTCCAGCTTGTCACCCAGATGCTGATGGCTTACCTGGCACGGCTCTCAGCCATCGCGGGCAACAAGATAAACTGCGGCCCTGCCCTCACATGGATGGAGGTACAGTGTGAAGCTCAGATGGTTCTTTATTTCCTGCCCTCAGCAACAGAGCAAACCATGGATGTGCTCTCTTGCCTTTCCAGAAAGAGGTAGAATCCTTTCAGACCTTCTGGTGTCACTGAAATGCTGCCCTAAGAGCCTTATTCCCCTGTTGTTGAGGTTCAACAAGGCCAAGTGCCAGGCCCTTGGGTCCCACCAACCCCCTGCAGTGCTACAGGAGCTGCCCAGCAGAAAAGGACCTGGGGGTGTTGGTCGCCTGTGGGCTGAACAGGAGCCAGCAGTGTGCCCAGGTGGCCAAGAAGGCCACCAGCATCCTGGCCTGTGTCAGGAACAGTGTGGGGAGTAGGGCCCGAGAGGTGATCGTCCCCCTGTACTGGGCACTGGTGAGGCCTCACCTTGAGTGCTGTGTCCAGTTTTGGGCCCCCTACCATAAAAAAGACATTGAGGTGCTGGAGCGGGTCCAGAGAAGGGCGACAAAGATGGTGAGGGGTCTGGAGAATAAGTCTTATGAGGAGAGGCTGAGGGAGCTGGGGGTGTTCAGCCTGGAGAAGAGGAGGCTGAGGGGAGACCTTCTTGCTCTCTCCAACTCCCTGAAAGGAGGGTGTAGAGAGGTGGGGGTCGGTCTCTTTTCTCAAGTCACAGGCGACAGGACAAGAGGAAATGGCCTCAAGTTGTGCCAGGGGAGGTTCAGGCTGGATATTAGGAACAATTTTTTCACTGAAAGGGTTCTCAGCCCTTGGAATGGGCTGCCCAGGGAGGTGGTTGAGGCCCCATCCCTGGAGGTGTTCAAAAGACGTGTTGATGTAGTGCTGGGAGGTCTGGTTTAGTGATGATGCTCCTTGTTTGTTGTGTGGGTGTCTATTTTTGTCAGTCAGGTTGACGGTTGGACAAGATGATCTTTGAGGTCCCTTCCAACCTAGAAGATTCTGTGATTCTGTGATTCTGTTGCCACCGTCTAGGTGGCCCCAAAAGATACAGAACAAAGAGAATCAGATCCAGATATATCCAGTCTCCTCTATCACTCTGGATATAGGAGAATATGGAAGCTGTTTTCTCCTCTTGCTTGGGTTTTGTCACCCAAAGAGGTGTCATTCTGCTGCCATCCACAAACCAAAGGAGGTGGCAGTGGTGGGGTCAGTGGATGGGCTGGGATGCTCAACAGAGCCCGTGCTGTTTGTACATCATGAATTGCAGCTGCAGCTTTGGTTTCCCTCTTAATGGTCTTCTACCATCCTAAACAATAGACTTTATTGGACAACGAGCTCAGGAACGAACGGGGCTGAATGTCCAAGGCTGGTTGGGCTGGGTAGAGATCTGAGTGTCTTCCCTCTGCCTGATGGAATTGCTGTGCACCAGGAATAGGAACAACTATTTTTAGGCTGATGCAATTCGTTTTGAAATGGTTGCCATAAGGATTTGAGTGCATTTTCCTGCAATTTTCCCCGCCTGATAATCCTCTTCACCCTGAAATCCTTGGGGAGGGGAAAAAATCTTGGAAGACTCCTCAGCCTGAAGGGTTGGAAGGAAGTTAGAGAGGAAAATGAAACCCTAGAATTCACAGCAACACAGGGAACCTAGAGATCAGAGCAAACCTACTGCCTATGCAGAGTGACCTTTCCAATTAACTGAGAATCTTAACAAATTTTACATGAGCACAAAAACATAGGAAGTTTGAAAAAAGGCTGATGATTGCAGCAAAGGCTGGGAGCCATGTTTTCTTCAAAAAAAAAAAGAAAAAAAGGTGGGGGAAAATAAAAAGTGACACTATTTTGGGGTTTGACAGCATTTCCTCCTCACCTCATGCCTCTTCTAGGGCATTAAATACATTAAATACATTTAAATACAGTGCTAAGGGACATGGTGTAGGGGAGGACTTTGTAGAGTAGGGGAGATGGTTGGACTCGATGATCCCAAGGGTCTCTTCCAACCTGAACGATTCTATGATTCTATGATTCTATCTCTCCTCCCACCTTGTAGAGAATTTTTGCCATGGCTTTTGTATTACAATTCTAATGATTTAGCATTAAAGGGAGGTGTAAACACTTGTGTCGTGTTTGTACACAAAGCTGCACAAACACAGCGTGTTCCTCCCGGGTCGGATGGGGACATATGGACCTTCTGCAATGTTCTTTCTGAGTTGTTCTCCCTTCCTGCCCCACGCTGTCCCCCCTCCCCACTGCTCTCCTCGGGGGGGTCCCCCCGCTCTGCTGTCTCTGGGAATCAGCTTGAAGTCTCTGCCCTGGGGGGAGCAGGGAGAAAATGCTCCTCGCTCGTCCTCGGCTGCCTCACGGTCTCCTCTGCTCTTCCTTTCAGATTGATAACAAGGGGAACCACCTGCTGGTCCACGAGGAGTCGTCCATCAACGTTCCTGCTATTGCTGCTGCCCATGTTATTAAGAGATATATTGCTCAAGCAGCAGATGAACTGTCCTTCGAGGTAAGTAATGACAGGAGCTGAGATTCCTTCTTGTCATATCCAGAAGAGTGTGTCGTGTGTGTCTTGGTGTGCACATCATGGGTGGAGGGAGGTCATCCTGCCCCTCTGCTCTGCCCTGGGGAGGCCCCATCTGGAGCACTGGGACCAGTTCTGGGCTCCCCAGTTCCAGAAGGACAGGGAACTGCTGGAGAGGGGACAGCAGAGGCTACAAAGATGATGAGGGGCCTGGAGCATCTCCCTTATGAGGAGAGGCTGAGGGACTTGGGTCGTCTTAGTCTGGAGAAGAGAAGGCTGAGGGGGGATCTGATCAACACCTATAAATACTTCAAGGGTGGGTGTCAAGAGGATGGGGCCAGGCTTTTTTCAGTGGTGCCCAGGGACAGGACAAGAGGAAATGGGCACAGACTTGAACATAAGAAGTTCCACCTCAACATGAGGAGGAACTTCTTTGCTGTGAGGGTGGCAGAGCCCTGGCAGAGGCTGCCCAGGGAGGTGGTGGAGTCTCCTTCTCTGGAGACATTCAAACCCCACCTGGACATGTTCCTGTGGGACCTGCTCTGGGTGGCCCTGCTCTGGCAGGGGGTTGGACTGGATGATCTCCAGAGGTCCCTTCCAACCCCATGTGATTCTGTGATTCTGTGATCGGGAATATATTCAGACACTTCCAGAATGTTTTGAGAGGTGAAGCTTAGAAGATTCAGTTAAATACGCAATTTGCAGTGGGTTGGATACAGGGAGGAGGTCAGTCATCTTGAAAATACAGATTTGGCATTAGTATCTTCTGATTAAACAGCTACTGCCAACAGCTCCAGCCGGGTCTCTGAGCAGCAGCAGCCCCTGCCCAGGCCCTGCTGTGCCGTGTAGGAGAAGTGTGTGCACATACGTGTGTGTGGACACGTGCCAGTTTAATTAGTCATTGGCCAATTTACACAACCTGTGTTCCTGGTAAAACCATCCTGTCTAAAACCGTTTTTAAGAGCTTCTGCTCCCATGAAAAATAAAGGATTGGACAATGAAAGAATTCGGAACTTAAAGAGCAGGCAATAACCTAAAATTATTATGAAAAATCTTACTTAATGTGGAGTCGGAGCTGCTGTGGAGCAAAGATGTGGAAGATCAGACTCTGGAAATGTTTGAGTGTCTGGCTCTTACCTGTTCTACCCAAAAAGCAGCCTTTTATGCTGTGACTGTTTCCGTGCAGCGGTGTCAGTGATGGAATATTCACAGCATTGTACAAAAAGGTGTAAAGGAAACCATTTAGTGCCCAAAGGAGTTTCTGTGATCACATCGTTGTCATCGTTGTCCTGCAGCGCAGGAATTGAAAATAATAGTGATAATCAAGTGCTGCCAGGGGTTTGGCCGGGTTCAAAATCGAGGCAATTATTAGAGTACGCCCTAATCAAGGAGACCCGTGGGTACGTCATCATCGTGGGCCCAGGTGAACCTCATGAGGTTCAACAAGAGCAAATGCAAGGTTCTGCACCTGGGCCGGAACAATCCTCACCATCAGTACACACTGGGGGGTGAGGTGTTAGAAAGCAGCCCTGAGGAAAGGGACTTGGGGGTGCTGGTGGAGGAGAAGCTGGACATGAGCAGGCAGTGGGCACTTGCAGCCCAGAAGGCCAATCCCATCCTGGGCTGCATCAAAAGCTGCGTTGCCAGCAGGTCCAGAGAGGGGATTCTGCCACTTGACTCTGCTCTGGTGAGACCTCACCTGGAGTCTTGTGTGCAGGTCTGGAGCCCTCAATAGAAGAAGGACATGGACCTGATGGAGAGGGTCCAGAGGAGGGCCACAAGGATCAGCCTGGAGAAGAGGAGGCTCCGGGGAGACCTAATAGCGGCCTTCCAGTACCTGAAGGGAGCCTACAGGAAGGCTGGGGAGAACCTGTTTAGAAAGGCCTGCAGTGACAGGACGAGGGGCAATGGCTTCAAGCTGGAGGGGAACAGCTTTAGACTGGAGATGAGGAGAGGGTTCTTCACTGGGAGGGTGGTGGAGCACTGGGACAGGTTGCCCAGGGAGGTGGTTGAGGCTCCATCCCTGGAGATCTTCAAGGAGAGGCTCGAGGAGGCCCTGGGCAACCTGGTCTAGTTGGGGGTGTCCCTGCTGACTGCGGGGGGGTGGGACTAGATGGCCTTTGGAGGTCCCTTCCAGCCTGGACAACTCTATGATTCTATGATCATCCGAGTGAGGACACGTGCAGTGTGGGACACAGACTCTCAGTAGCAGGATGAATACAAGCAGTGAGATGGCACCCCCTGCTCATCCATCTTCCAAAGGGCTGGAACTCAGCCCTGCCACCACAGCCCAACAAGGTCCCCAGGAGGCAAGTGGGGAAACCGAGGCACGTGTGGCTTCCCGGGTGTGTGCAGGGAGAAGCCTTGGCACCACAGGAGTGAAAGATGGTGTGACAGTCTCTGTGGTCTGTCCCCTCGTCCCCAGTGTCTCTTCACGATCAGGCATTTGGTCACTTCTAACTGGCATTTGCTCCCCAGCACTGAGGGAGACACCTGGGTTCTCTGCTCGTTTTCCTTGATGGAAATTCCCTTTCCTGGTGGTTTGCTGTTCCCCGAGGAAATCACTCCATTTCTCTGGGTCTCGGTTCTCCCCATCTGAAACAAAGGGATGTGGTATCTCCTTCCTCAAGCCCTTTGAGATCCAGCAGTCAACATCGGGGAAGAGCTGGGCGTTGCTGTTAATGACTTTTGCTGTGCCTTAGCTCAGTATTTCTTTAGGTTCTGGCCCATCTCATTTTCTGTTACAGGGGCCACAGAGACCTCGATTCCCACCAAGCCAAATTTAGTATTGATTATATCGATTTCCTTTTGAATTATTGCACTATTACTTGTTTTTATGGGATTGAGAGAAGCTTCAGAAAACCGATTTGGTCTCCTTGGACCAAACCCCACCCCTCCTTCTTCGTGTTCTAATGCAGAAAAGCAAAGTCTTGGCCAGTTGGTGAACTACCGAGGGAGCTCTTACCTTTTTGCTGTGGAAGGAACCAAGGCGACGTATGTCGGTGCCTAAATAGGCATATATGGGGCTTGTAGCAAAAATTAGAGAATATTTTCAAAGCTTTTCTGGCTGTCACTGCGTGTACTGATGCCTGCAGTCTCCTCAGAAGGCTTCTGTACCCTTTGGCAGCCAGCCTGCTGCTTTGAGAATGGTTTCCTTAGGAACAGCTGTATCCTGTGTGTTGGGTAACGCAGCAGCTCTCCCCCCTCTGGGTTTGGTTTTCCAAAGGCAGATGTCTCAGGGTTGGCCTTGATGCAGTTGCTCACAAATTTTAGGGTTTTTTTTATAGTGCTGAAGAACGTGGTGGTTTGGATTGTGCTTTCCTCCTGGCCGCGGTGACTGACGTTGCCCAATCTTTTGCAGGTGGGAGACATAGTGTCTGTTATTGACATGCCACCCAAGGAGCTGACCACCTGGTGGAGAGGCAAGCACGGATTTCAGGCCCAGTTGATGAACTACCAAGGGAGCTCTTGACTTTTTGCTGTGGAAGGAACCAAGGCGACGTATGTCGATGCCTAAATAGGCATATATGGGGCTTGTAGCAAAAATTAGAGAATATTTTCAAAGCTTTTCTGGCTGTCACTGCGTGTACTGATGCCTGCAGTCTCCTCAGAAGGCTTCTGTACCCTTTGGCAGCCAGCCTGCTGCTTTGAGAATGGTTTCCTTAGGAACAGCTGTATCCTGTGTGTTGGGTAACGCAGCAGCTCTCCCCCCTCTGGGTTTGGTTTTCCAAAGGCAGATGTCTCAGGGTTGGCCTTGATGCAGTTGCTCACAAATTTTAGGGTTTTTTTTATAGTGCTGAAGAACGTGGTGGTTTGGATTGTGCTTTCCTCCTGGCCGCGGTGACTGACATTGCCCAATCTTTTGCAGGTGGGAGACATAGTGTCTGTTATTGACATGCCACCCAAGGAGCTGACCACCTGGTGGAGAGGCAAGCACGGATTTCAGGTAGGCACAACCATCAGACGTGAGAGTGTGACTTAAATCCCAGCAGGGAACTCTGCCCCGTGGTCACAAAACTCATGGAGAGAAGCAGAGCATCCCTGTGGTGGTGTGAGAGGACTTCCCCTTTCTCTCAACTGGGGCTAGAGCAGACACGTGGCCTTCAAAGAAGGTATCTCCTACCCCACCATGCACGTTAGGGGTAGCCATGACCCTTTGGTCAAGAGCTGGCTTGATGTTAGTGGAATTTTCTGTTGTCCCCCCCTTCCAGGCAGCTGACACCATGGTTCAAATCATCCCATCCCTTCCACCAGCTGAAACTAGGTCAGGCACAACATAGAGGATTTGGAGAAAGCCCGTTGGTAAGACACTGCCACTGGCTCAAACAAGGCACCCAAGGGACCTGGGTGTCCCTGTCTGCATTTAGTGTGTGCTGTTGTGGTCTCTGGGCATGTCACAGCAGAGAGATTTAGGCTGAATTTTCAGAAGATCCTATACACACCTGGGAATTCCAAAACTTCGCGTCAAAACGGCACTTTCCTTACAAAAGAGTTGTTGTTCCCTAGCTTGGATTTTCTCATTAGGAAATTTAATTTTAAAACAGTCTCTCTTTACAAAACAAAACCCAAAAGCTGCTGAAGGTTGAGGGTAGCTGAGTTTCTGCCTTCTCATGCTGCAGTGTCTCACGTTTCAGCTCATTTCAGGCGGGAGGGATTTTCATCCTGCAGTTGCTGCCTGTGAGTAGGTGGAATTCCGAGTTTGCTCTGGAGAGGGTCAGAGTTGAGCCCAGATACTTGGATGTTTTGGCCTGGAAAGTCTTCTCAAAGTCCCCCCAGATGCAGCTCGTGGTGCTGCTGTCGTTAATCGCGGGGCTGTGGGGGACAAGGGATCCCCAAACCCTGCAAACCCCCTCGGAACGGCGTGTTCGTTACGGGGGTGCATTTCTCTCCCATCAGCCAGAGCTTTCCTTGCCTTTGTGTCAGAGGTGGGACTTCAGATGGTGTCTCATTTGCAAAATCAGAGCAGCGTGGACACACGATACATGCTCGGAAATTAAATTTGTTTCTAGGGTTAACACATTGGTATTTCTGGAACAAACTTGACTGTCCTTCTAGTTTTTGAAGTGTGTTACGGCTTTGCAGGATGTTTCTTCTGATCCTGGAAGCCTTAAAACTGTATTTGCCCTACTCTCAGCAATTAGTACTATGTGGACTGATCAGTGAATCTTTAGTTTGGCTTCCAAGTGAATCAATAAACCAAAGCAAAACAACTTCTTGTTGTCTCTCATGGTTGGAATTGGATCAGGCAGAAGATGCAGTTAGTGGGTTTGGAGAAGCCCCTGGACTAAATGATCTTGAAGGTCCCTTCCAACCTAGGTGATCTTATGATTCTATGACTTGGGTCTTCTAAGTCTGGAGAAGAAAAGGCTAAGAGGGGATCTGATCAACACCTATAAATACTTATGGGTTGGTGTCAGGAGGATGGGGCCAGGCTTTTTTCAGTGGTGCCCAGGGACAGGACAAGAGGAAATGGGCACAAACTTGAATATAAGAAGTTCCACCTAAACATGAGGAGGAACTTCTTTGCTGTGAGGGTTGTGTTGTTTTGTGTCCGACACTCAGGACATAGATTGTGTTTTTCAGCCTGAGCTCCCCAGTTGCCATCAGCCTGGCTGGAATCGTGGCTGGATGCAAAGGGCATCGCTGGTGATTAAAGAGAAAATTAAATTGAATTTATTTCTAGGGTTAACACATTGGTATTTCTGGAACAAATTTAACTGCTCTTCTGGTTTTTGAAGTGTGTTATGGCTTTGCAGGTTGTTTGTTCTGATCCTGGAAGCCTTAAAACTGTATTTGCCCTATTATCAGAAATAATTACTGCTTGGACTGATTCCAAGTGAATCAATAAACCAAAGCAGAACAACTTCTTCTTGTTTTGTGTCCAACACTTTGCATGGAGCTGATGGATCACAAGTGTGTGACATCCCCACACAGGACATAGATTGTGTTTTTCAGCTCGAGCTCCCCCATTGCCACCAGCCTGGCTGGAATCGTGGCTGGATGCAAAGGGCAACGCTGGTGATTAAAGAGAAAAATAAATAAAATTTGTTTCTAGGGTTAACACATTGGTATTTCTGGAAGAAACTTGACTGTTCTTCTACTTTTTGAAGTGTGTTACGGCTTTGCAGGATGTTTCTTCTGATCCTGGAAACTTTAAAACTGTATTTGCCCTACTATCAGTAATTAGTACTACTTGGACTGGATCACAAGTGTGTGACATCCCCACGCAGGACATAGATTCCATTTTTCAGCCTGAGCTCCCCCATTGCCACCAGCCTGGCTGGAATCCTGGCTGGATGCGAAGGGCATCACTGGTGATTAAAGACAAAAGGAAATGAAATTTGTTTCTAGGGTTAACACATTGGTATTTCTGGAAGAAACTTGACTGTTCTACTTTTTGAAGTGTGTTACGGCTTTGCAGGATGTTTCTTCTGATCCTGGAAACTTTAAAACTGTATTTGCCCTACTATCAGTAATTAGTACAACTCGGGCTGATCAGTGAATCTTTAGTCTGGCTTCCAAGTGAATCAATAAACCAAAGCAAAACAACTTCTTGTTGTTTTGTGTCCAACACTTTGCACAGAGCTGATGGATCACAAGTGTGGGACATCCCCACACAGGACATAGATTCCATTTTTCAGCTCAAGCTCCCCCATTGCCATCAGCCTGGCTGGAATCGTGGCTGGATGCCCTCCTCCTGACACAAGAGATGAGAGCAGCTGCAGAAATAGAGCACCATATTTTGGTTTAGCAGAAAATTAGGGCTGGAATAATCTTGTATTTTAGAGTGTAAGGAAGAGTGTCTCATGGTTGGAATCAGATCAGGCAAAAGATGCAGTTAGTGGGTTTTGAGAAGCCCCTGGACTAAATGATCTTGAAGGTCCCTTCCAACCTAGATGATCTTATGATTCTATGGCTTGGGTCTTCTTAGTCTGGAGAAGAAAAGGCTAAGAGGGGATCTGATCAACACCTATAAATACAACTATGGGTTGGTGTCAGGAGGATGGGGCCAGGCTTTTTTCAGTGGTGCCCAGGGACAGGACAAGAGGAAATGGGCACAAACTTGAACATAAGAAGTTCCACCTAAACATGAGGAGGAACTTCTTGACTTTGAAGCCCTGGCAGAGGCTGGCCAGGGAGGTGGTGGAGTCTCCTTCTCTGGAGACATTCAAAGGCCACCTGGACACGTTCCTGTGGGACCTGCTCTGGGTGGCCCTGCTCTGGCAGGGGGTTGGACTGGATGATCTCCAGAGGTCCCTTCCAACCCCATATCAGTCTGTGATTCTGTGAGGTGTTTTCCCTGTGAATTGATGGCTTTTGTCATGTATTTCAAATGTGCTCCTCAGAGCTTTTCATTTCCATCAGCTACCAAGAGATGCAAATTCCAGGGCTGTAAAAAGAGAGAGAGGAGAGGTTTTTTAACCCATGTTTCAAGTTTTTTAAGCCCCGTGAGCTGTGAATGTACAGAAAAAAGTACATTTCCTGATGCAGTGGAGTTTTTTGACCATTCTAAGTGCTGCAGTGAGAAGGGAATCCAGGGAAAGGAAATTTCTCTCTGGTGTTACATCAGACCTAGAGATGTGTTGCATTTCAATACAGAATTGCACCTGATATATACTTAAAAAGAGTGTATAGATGAGAAATGATGTCATAGTAATATATATAACAGCAATATGGGCAACCTTTAAAGCATTTATTCCAGGCAAACAATTCTGTTCTACTTTAGGAACAATAGATATTGTAAAGATGATAGCAATCTGTTGATCCAGGCATTTTAATTAATGAAATAAATCAACTGTCTTGCCGGATAGTTATGATTCTGAGAGTGGATAAAAGCAGGAGGTCCAGAGACTGAATGTTTGGGCAGTTTATTTGTTGTTATTTCACAGGTTTTTGCTTTGTGCTAGGAAAGGAGCAGGGTTTTATCAAAAGGACAGAATCACAGAATTTTCTAGGTTGGAAGGGACCTTAAAGATCATCTTGTCCAGCCATCAACCTAACTGACAAAAATAGACACTCACACAACAAAAGGACCCCAGCTGACATTGTAAATTGTATCTCAATAAGAGGAGAGCAGGGTTTTGCTCAATGGGGGATTTCCTGATGCAGTGGAGTTTTTTGACCAGTCTAAGTGCTGCAGTGAGAAGGGAATCCAGGGAAAGGAAATTTCTCTCTGGTGTTACATCAGACCTAGAGATGTGTTGCATTTCAATACAGAATTGCACCTGATATATACTTAAAAAGAGTGTATAGATGAGAAATGATGTCATAGTAATATATATAACAGCAATATGGGCAACCTTTACAGCATTTATTACAGGCAAACAATTCTGTTCCACTTTAGGAACAATACTATTGTAAAGATGATAGCAATCTGTTGATCCAGGCATTTTAATTAATGAAATAAATCAACTGTCTTGCCGGATAGTTATGATTCTGAGAGTGGATAAAAGCAGGAGGTCCAGAGACTGAATGTTTGGGCAGTTTATTTGTTGTTATTTCACAGGTTTTTGCTTTGTGCTAGGAAAGGAGCAGGGTTTTATCAAAAGGACAGAATCACAGAATTTTCTAGGTTGGAAGGGACCTTAAAGATCATCTTGTCCAGCCATCAACCTAACTGACAAAAATAGACACTCACACAACAAAAGGACCCCAGCTGACATTGTAAATTGTATCTCAATAAGAGGAGAGCAGGGTTTTGCTCAATGGGGGGAAAAAAAATGACTTCTTGACTTAAAAGAACTTACCTTTTTTTTTGTGCATTTAACCCAGCTGTGACTCGTGTGCGTCTGGGCAGAAACGCATCCGTTTCTGCAAGTCCCCCATCTATTAGAATAAATTAAAGGTTTCTCCGGGTTATGCAAATGAGGCAGCTCTAGAGACACACGTCAAGGGGAAGGCAAATCTGAGAGTTGTGTTGGAGCTGCAGCTCCCGTTCTGCAGGGA